ATATTAAGTTATAAAGAACCCCCCAGAACTGCATTCATTCAAATGAAGGTAATGAAGGTCTAAAGGAGCAAGATCACAGTTAACACAAGAGAATTTTCCTTCAGTAATTCCTTTAAGAAACTTTGAAAAGCATTCATTTACTTTATTATCTCTTTCAAACTCTATAGCTGCCCAGATTTTCAGTTAGAAAGGTGATAAGAATGCAAATGAAAATGGCGGTTTCATGTGTTTCTCTGCAGATCAGATGAGGGATATACATTCTGCCTAAATATTTCTTCCATTGGCCCTCACAGAGGAATGCAAGCCCAAGAATCTTCCTTTATAAGCAAGTTAATAGCTGGAAGTGGTGAGGTAGATAGCAAATTATGTATATTTTTAGAAAGAACTAAATTGGTATAGAAATAAAATGAAAACAAGAACTCTACTTCAAAGTAAATATATTTGATAGCTTTTTAAATTTCATAATGATTATACAAATAAAAGAGGTAATTCGGTACACTTTAATTTATAATTCTTTCTTTTACTTTTATAGTTCTCCTTTATAAACAAATGAACTCAATAATTCAATACCCATAGACAATTTGAATTTGATCTGACTCATACCGACCCCTCCTTGGGTTTCTGAGGTGGTATCAGTACGGAAGTAGATTGCCCAACCTTCTTTCAGAGGAGTGGCTGGTAGGTCTGAACTGCCAGCCTTCTGGTCATCAGTCAAATTCCTTAGGCACTATGCTACCAGAGCTCCCCAATAAATAATTTTAGATAGATGGGAAATTTTATTTGGGACTGTTTATTTGATGAGATAGCCAACTGTGTACATACCTGATGAGCCGGTAATGTCCATAGCCTTCAGATTTCTGCACTTGATGACTGTCAGTGTCATGCGCCCCGCAGTAGGCAAATAGCAAAGGGAAAACATGATTTCCCCCAGATCTATGCTTTCCTAGAAAAGTAATAAATGATGTTAATGATTTCACACATCAGATAATGAAAACAAAATGTAATTTAAGATGTTGAGTGAATAATCATTGTAATAGAATATTTGAATGTTATTTTAATTTGTTTCATTTAAGGTATGGATAACATTCCAAGAAAGCTGTTTTGAACAGAGGGGAAAAAGTATATAAGCCAACTGTTCATTTTATATTTCCACTAGTATTTCTAACAGGCATCTCAAAGTTAACATGGCCAAAAAAGAGACTCCTGATTCTACTCCATTCCCATCATTTTCAAAACCTATTCTTCTGTCAGTCTTCCTAAAATCAGCAAATAGCACCACAGTGCACCCAGAAGTTGTAGCCAAAAGCCCAGGAGTCACTTTTATTCTTTTCTTTCCTTCACTTCTTTATCTAACCTATGGGCAAGTCTTGCTACATGATCTATTTAATATATCCCAAATCAGTGAACTTCTTTTTGTCTGTATTGCTCACAGAAACCACCATTACTTCTTGCTAAGATTGCATCAGTAGCTTCTAAAACTGATCTCCCATTTCAGAAGATAATCTTCATACAGCAAAGTAATCATGAAATGCAAATCAAACTACATCACACTCCTGCTTAAAACTGCATAAGTGTACACAATTGTACTGCAATGAAATTCAAACTCCTTTTCCTGGTTTAGATGTGGAGTAATTATAAGCCTTGGTTTGTCTGGGAAATTCTTTGTTTATATCTGTTGCACTGCAATTATTAAGAGCATCCTCTTTCACTTTTAAATATGTCTTTGAACAATACATTACAAAATCACTATGTATAAAGCCCTGGGTGATCTGGACCTTACTGATCTCTCTAACTTTATCTCTTAACTCTCAACCCCACTTCAATCTGCTGTTGACACAAAAGACTTCTTTCTGTTAGTCAAAGAAATTAAGTGTGTTCCTGCTTTTGGACCTTTGCATTTTCTTTTCCATTTGACAGATATTTTTCTTCTCTTCTCTTTACATGGCTAGTTCCTTCTCACCATGCAGGGCTCAGCTCTAACAATATCTCTTCAGTAAGGCCTTACTCAATCATTCATTCTAAATTAACTACATTTCCTATTTGATATCCACTTCCTCCCAGATTCTTCACTTTTTTCTCCCTGGCATGCATCACTGTCTGAAATCTTTTTAACTTTTTTTTTTTTTTTATGCCTTCCTTTAATTTCATACATCAGGTCCAGGAGAGGAAGTTCTTGTATGTTGTATTTTCTACATCCTTCCATAGTGCTTAGTACACAGTAGGTTCCCAGTACAGATTTTTTTGAAGGCATGAATGTATTATATAATTAATGTAGAAAAAACTGACCTGTTTCATTTCATTTATAAAGTGCAGCTGTCCACAGCACAGTGACCCTGATATGTTTGCTGTCTTTGGCTGTATAGATGGTAGCCAAATTAAAATGAGTTTAGACATTAAGCAGTTTAGGATACTCCCCAAAGAGCTGTGTTACTACAAGATTCATTTGAATTATTTCTAATGAGTCAATTTGTGATATATTTAACTTTGGGGGAAGTAAATTACTGACCATGGACCTAGGTGCATAAAACTAGGTTCTTAAAAATTTTTCATGATGAACTATTAGCAGTTATTGGACTTATGACTCAGACTCTGATATATTTATTTCCTATTACTTTATTCACGTTCTAAAAGTGGTACTACCTAGTGGTTAATATCACAAACTTTAGAGTCTTTTCAATAAGGTTTGCCCCCCAGTTCCTCTACTTCCTAGCTGTGAGAAATCCTAGGGAATTTAATTGAGCTCTGCATCTCAGAAACTTCATTTTGAAAATGAGCACAAAGATATATCCAACTTGGTCTTCTCTGGACTGATGGACTGCTGCAGATCAAAAATAGTGAGCAAAGACCAATAGGAGAGGACCAAGGAGAAAAAGGAAGAGCATGACCTCCAATATGGATTCATTCTTTTCACTAGTTAGCAGTTTCTGAGCATCTATTATTTGCTAGGTGTTCTGACAAGTATTGTTGTTGTTGTTGCTATGTGCCATCGAGTCAGACCCGACTCATAGTGACCCCTCCTTGGGTTTCTGAGGCAGTATCACTACAGAAGTAGATTGCCCAACCTTCCTTCTGAGGAGTGGCTGGTGGGTTTGAACCACCTTCTGGTTAGCAGTCAAATTCCTTAGGCACTATGCTACCAGAGCTCCCGTGATAGGTATGACAGACACAAAATCATTGGATTTTGCTTTTTTTCCTGCCCTTTAAAACCTCAGTTGAGAAAGAAGAGAGTAGGCTTTAGAAGGCTAAAAAAATAAGTATGAATCTCTTGTCATTTGATGATGATCTCCTTTTTCTCTGTCTCTTTATCCAATTGTTTTTTAGGCTCAGTCTATGAGCCAAATTTTTCTGTCTGCTAGCCATCCCCTAGCAGACAGGTTGGGTATTTCTTTTCCCAGAACCTCTCAATAAGAGCAGGCATGTTTTGTTGCCAGCTGGTCAAAATTAAGGGATCCCTCAATGTATATAAAACATTATACAAAGTTCTACCAAGAAGTATGGTGGAATGGCAATGGAGAAGCCAAGAAAGAAATAGAAGCCACGGCCTTGGGTATGAAATGCTTAGAATCCCACAGGAAATGTACCACATGCAAACACGAAAGCTACATTAATATTACATCTAAGTGGATTAATAAATAAAGTAGACTTTCTTGTGCCTGACTAATATGTACGGTTTTATTTTCACACATTCAACAATCTGTGGAAGTAGTTTTCTACTTTGTTAGATATATAACATGTTTATTAGCTGGAATGTAGTTTGCCATATTTGGTCCCATCTCTCAAAGTTGCTTTCTGTAGATTGTGACCATGTATTTTGAACAAGTATTGGTAAATAGACGTTAAACTGAGGAATTGACCAAAGCATTGGTCCAAATAAACTGAAAGCAAAGAGCATCATTAAAGAGCACCTACCATCACCTCTATGTTTTAAGCTAGGTGACTTTTTACTGAAAGAAATGATAAGTAATCTACTTAAATATTCAAACTCCACATAGTCAGAAGTTTTAAGGAAACTGGCAAGAATTAGGAGGTAAAAATTAAAGCATGCATGCATAATAACTGTACAAAAGTTTGAGTCTTTATTAGATTTTTTTTTTTTTTCCTTTTAGGAAAACTTGAATGTGAAAGGACTAAAACAATCTACATCCTGAAAAGGGCAGAATACTCTTTAAGGTAACTACCAATATTCTTAATCTTTTTAGATCTAGAAAGCATCTAAGAGATAATCATGATCAAATGAGCTTAATATGGTAAATGTCTGTATGACCTTCAGAAAGTCCAAGCCATATGTAACATCAGAGCTCTATGCTTTTGGCTACATTGCTCTGGCTACAGTACACACTACTTCTCAGTGGCCATCACTGAGTTTATCCTTGTATTGGTTGTCCAACTCCAGTAAGCAGGCCACATTTTAATTATCACCTCCCTCAGTCTGCCTCATACCTCTGACCTTTATGAGACCATACTCAACCCCAACAACTAGAATTTCTGGTGTCCAGCAAAAAACTAGAAAATGAGTACAGAAGTCTCTGAATATAGAGCATAAATATAAAAAGTTATATAGTAACAGTCTATGATGTAATCAGACTATATCACATCCATTTACTCTTATTTCAGGGGGTAAAAAAAAAAAGAACACGAATGTTTCTTGGTATATTAGTCTACAGCAGGTCAAAACTCACAAACAGTGTGGAGATGAGGAAACTAGTAGGAGTAGATCTAGTGAAGGAATCAATAAATGATAGCTACCCAGACACTCTTTCTCTCTCTCACTCTCTCTCTCACACACACACATGCATGCACGTATAGCAAATACTCTAAAAAGAATAGCAAGATGGAACCATTTGTATTAAGGGGAATTAGCCCTAATAATGCCCCAGAAACATAAAAACTTAACATTCTCTTACAGATTTGAGCAGTAAATAACATTCAAAATTATGACCTAGTCATCAAGATAAAGAAACATATCCCATACGTTCTGTTTAAGAAGGTAGTGAAGTGTGCAATATACTTTAGGATTATTATTATCCAAAATGCTTAAAATGCTCAAAGTAGCAATTTTGGCTTAAAATGAGAAAGGCTTTGGGTACTCATTTTTCTACAATTCTTTATACATGTGAGTTTCTCATATACTTGTGAAAAACTTTTACATCTTTGGGCAAATAATCAATTGAGAGCCTTCTATAAAATCTAAGATATATTTCTTTCAGGTAAGAAGACTTTTATGCCATTCTCATGTGCACTAATTTTTTTTATTGTATATTCACAATGATTATCTTGTGTTTCCATATTTGAAAAACAGATTTATGAAAAAGTGCTAACATTGAGGCTAGGTTTGGGGTTGTACATTAATTTTTTTCATTCTGGTTTCATCAGCATATATCTGGGTACATAAAGATCAATTTCTAATGATCAGCTATAGTCAACTCCATTCATATACTCCCACTTGTAAAGTTTTTAATCCCTGTTATTGACTCTGCAATAAAAGTAAAATCATTGGAAGAATAGTTTGATATACAAATATTTACATTGCACATCCTATCTCAGCACTCACTGAAGTTAACTGTAAAGTCAAATTGTACCAATTGACTATAAGTGCTGGTGGTGAGGGGAGACAAATTAAAGGACTGATAAGCAGAAAGTATAATAATCAAGACACATTCCCAGAGGGAGATAATCACTGGGCTTTGAAGAATTAAAGAGATGGGAACTCACCAGGAAGAACAGGAGCAATGTCTTATGTGAGTAAATAAATAAATAATAATAAATACTCATAAATAAGAATGGGCAGTTTGGGTTGAGAAGTATAGAGTTTGGTAACAAGTTGGAAGAGTTTTAAGGCTAGATAAGAGTTGTTTGGTGGCTTTTATGGACAATAGAGATCTACACATGTTGGAGAAAGAGTGGGTGCTTGGCAAACTGGAAAAAACATCGGTTCCTAGATCA